TAACAAAAAACTTATTTTAGTCCGTCTATTTTCTAGAGCCGGTCTAGTAAAGAAACAAATATGTTTCTATGGGGCTCATTGAAAGCTGTCAGGGCGTCTTGCTATACATGCTAATGGAAGCACACAACAGCTTCTGTTTGTCTGGAAACCTTCTACCCCCCCCCCCCCCTTTTAAAAAAAGTAAAGTTCCCCATCCAAACCTGACGGTCTATGGGGAAGGTGAAGTAGAGTTCACCTGTTTCTGTAACCTCGGCATATGAAGAGATACTGTGGTCAGCACTATGCCCAGCCGCCTTTGCTTTCCCTAACATGAGTTAGGTACCCATCAGAGCTGGGTGGATTAGCAGTCTAGTTCTCTACCGCTAGGCCACTCCGCCCCCGCCCCCTCTCCCGTTACTTGTAATCAAATCTATACTTTCATCTAAAACCAAATCTATACTTTCATCTAAAACCAAATCTATACTTTCATCTAAAACCAAATCTATACTTTCATCTAAAACCAAATCTATACTTTCATCTAAAACCAAATCTATACTTTCGTGTAAAACCAATTCTATACTTTCATCTAAAACCAAATCTATACTTTCATCTAAAACCAAATCTATACTTTCATCTAAAACCAAATCTATACTTTCATCTAAAACCAAATCTATACTTTCATCTAAAACCAAATCTATACTTTCGTGTAAAACCAATTCTATACTTTCATCTAAAACCAAATCTATACTTTCATCTAAAACCAAATCTATACTTTCATCTAAAACCAAATCTATCTCTGATGTACGACAACAAACTCATTGTTTTCATCTGTCCACTAATGAAAGAAAATGTAATAGCTATTGTTTTTTAAGAAATTCCCAACATGATCATGCCCATAAAAATTAAATTTTAATTTACACAGCACAAAAAAAAATCACAAAACGCCTTCACAGTTGAGAAAGAGAGAGAAAAAACAACGTGGCAATGTATTAAAAATTAAAGTTAAAAAATGTCGGGGATGAAATCTAAGCGACATCCGAACGCTGACATCCATCTCTATTTCATTCGAGTCAGCCACAGGCCAGGCACGAGAAAATCCTGGCAAGGTGGGTGAATTATTAATGCACAGCAAGACGCCATCGACAGGCTATTTACCGGCACGCCGTGAGGTGGGAGGGGCTCACACGGGGATATTCAGGCCGGCACGTAGGACGGTGGTCAAACACTGGCTTGAGTGATCGCTGCGGAAATATCACGCCGAGGCTCTTGATTCTTTCATTCGATACTCTAAATATTCATCGATTTCCTACGCTAATTGATTATCGTAAGTTTAGGGCCCGAAGTTAATAAACAGGCTACAAACAAATAAGCGATCATAGTATGGATAATACGGCCCTAATATATATATATATATATATATATATATATATATATATATATATATATATATATATATATATATATATATATATATATATATATATATATATATATATATATATATATCTTTCGGACCCATAACATTCAGACCCCCAATGTTCCGACCCCTAACACTCAGACCTCCAATGTTCCGACCCCTAACATTCAGACCCCCAATGTTCCGACCCCTAACACTCAGACCTCCAATGTTCCGACCCCTAACACTCAGACCTCCAATGTTCCGACCCCTAACATTCAGACCCCCAATGTTCCGACCCCTAACACTCAGACCCCCAATGCTCTAACCCCTAACGTGAGCTAATTAGCGATACTAGAGTTCAGCCAAAGTTGCTTGACCTCCTGTCATTATATCTTAACGTGTAGTTTTAACGACAGTTCCAAATTATTCAATTAGTTTGTCTCTAAACTTGAAAAGATCTAAGACAGTGGTTCTTAACCTGGGTTCGATTGAGCCCCAGGGTTCGGTGAGTCAGTCTCTGGGATTTGGCGTAGGTCAAGACACACACAGCCGTCTGATATGATATGAGATTTTGTAAGTGCGGACAATAGAACTAGCGGCGGCGGACGATGACAGTTCAAATACGACAGCGTGATGAGGTATTAAAGTGCCACGAAACACATATCCACATACGTCACGAATCGTGTCAACGCCACCTATACAGGCGCGCGTTGATTGCTAGAATGTGGTCCAGTAGTCGACTTGGGACTATCGTGATGGTGCGTCGGGTGATTTCTTTCTTAATATTTTTATCCTTTCGTGCAAACTTTGTCGAGCAAAAAAAAAGAAAAAGATTCGCAAGTATAATAGAACATGATGCGAGTAAGCGTCATAACTGCATGATTTGTAATGCCAAGTTGAGCAATTCTAGTCTAGCATCGGAAAAACTCTGAGAACACTTCCTTAAGCTGCAAGGAGGAGGAAGATACAAGAACATAACGCTCGCTAAATTCAACGTGACGTCACGTGTGTATGAAAAGCAACAGCTGATTGGCAGTCAACATTCACTATTATGTTTTTCATTTTGTGTTAAACCCATATTTTAATGTTTTTGTTCTTTGAACACAATGGCGTTGATAAACGGTCCATTTTGTGCACCAATAAAAATATAAACCAATATTTTTATCTGAAACAAAATGATATTTTTTTTCCTATTAAGGTTTCGGTGCATGCCTAAATGAAGTTGCGGAAGGTCGGCCTCCAGAAAAAAATAAAAGAACCTCTGATCTAGAGGAATTAAAACAGGAAGTTTTCACAGTTACGACGTGATACACAGTGGCTAAAACCATAGAGTTTCTGCATTAACTTTTTGAAATGATGCGATGGCAGAAATATTAATGCAATTATTGTAGCTGTAATGACACAGTATTACCTGCAATTAACGACATTTTTTTCAAAGATAACAATGCAAGAAAATGTGTGACTGTTGCATAAAATGAAATTTAGGGCAATCCCTATTTCATCGTATAATTGAATACTTATGTCAAAATACGTTCTTTAGGGAGACATGATTTTCTATCAAAGCACGTCTACCACACCACATCTACCACGCCACATCTACCATACTACATCTACCACACCATATCTACCACACCACATCTACCATACTACATCTACCACACCATATCTACCACACCACATCTACCATACTACATCTACCACACCATATCTACCACACCACATCTACCATACTACATCTACCACACCATATCTACCACACCACATCTACCATACTACATCTACCACACCATATCTACCACACCACATCTACCATACCACATCTACCACACCACATCTACCACACCATATCTACCACACCATATCTACCACACCACATCTACCATACCACATCTACCATACCACATCTACCATACCACATCTACCATACCACATCTACCATACCACATCTACCACACCATCTCTACCACACCATATCTACCATACCACATCTACCACACCACATCTACCATACCACATCTACCACACTACATCTACCACACCACATTTACCACACCACATCTACCACACCACATTTACCACACCGCATCTACCACACCACAATTACCACACCACATCTACCACACCACATTTACCACACCACATCTACCACACCACATTTACCACACCACATCTACCACACCATATCTACTATACGAAAGCTACAAAAACCACTATTTTCTTTCAGTAGCTTAACGTGCTTTGGATAAAGTGTGTAAGGATACTCCCATGTGAAAATGTACAGCACCATTTATCGATACCTTTGGGAAAATTGACATGTATTGAGGTCTGTTGTGTGTGATGGAGATCCCAGAATTATCGGAGAAAATGATCAGGGATTTCGTCATCAGATGGATCGGCTAATATTTTTTGTTTCATTTCTGCCGGGATTGATATGAGTTCGTGATTTAGTTTTTAAATTGTTTCCTAATCCGGCGATCACTTCCGGGGAGGGGAGGGTTGTTATTTAAAACAGTTCGTGTCAGAAATGTATTATGAACATGTTGGCTGAATATATGTGCGGGTACCACTATGTGCGGGTACGACTATGTGCGGGTACGACTATGTGCGGGTACCTCTATGTGTGGGTACCACTATGTGCGAGTACCACCATGTGCGGGTACCACTATGTGCGGGTACCACTATGTGCGGGTACCACTATGTGCGGGTACCACTATGTGTGGGTACGACTATGTGCGGGTACGACTATGTGCGGGTACCTCTATGTGTGGGTACCACTATGTGCGAGTACCACTATGTGCGAGTACCACTATGTGCGGGTACCACTATGTGCGGGTACCACTATGTGCGGGAACCACTATGTGTGGATACGACTATGTGCGGGTACCACTATGTGCGGGTACCACTATGTGCGGGTACCACTATGTGCGGGTACCACTATTTAAGTTAATTTGCAGAAACACCAGCGTCTAATTCATTCGTCATCGAGAATATGATTCTCTCATGAAGTCATGAACCACTGTCTCAGTGATTTGAATTCACATCTTTTCTTGTACGTAGTTTTAGATATTCTAACCAATGCATGTAGTGACTATGTTGTTTTTAATGAACGTCAACACTGTTTTCATTTGACACACGTTAGTGATTGCAACACAAAATGTAAAATTGTATCAAATAACATGATACTTACCTGCCCGATTAATTAAAACAGACATTTGTATTGTACATTTCTAATTAGATGCTTGGTAAATGGAAAATTTGAATGTTTACATCTCAGTAATGGTCATTAATAAAATGGTCAATAGTTTACTAGGTGGGATCAGAGTCTCTTCCAGGCATCTCTTCAGGGGCGGGCAGAGCCCCCACCCCACTCCGAAACGAGATGGAATTTATATAGTCAAAATATTCTTTTACTAGTGTCCGCCCCCCCCCGGAAAATGTAGACCGCCCCCCCCCTGAAAATATCAAGTGCCCCCCGGAGAAAAAAGTCTGGAAGAAACACTGGGTGGGATCTATGTATTCTGTTTTGGACATAACTCTTGTGTTGATTTAGAACCTAGATGGTAGTTGTCTAACTTACCTCCCATGTAGCCGTGTATCTAGTAAGATTATGAGAGTGACTTACCTCCCATGTAGTAGGCCGCTGTTAGTCCTAAAACAGCACAGAAGAAAAGGGACAGAACTGTTGTGTTCATGGTGAATCTGTCAGGAGGAGAAAACAAAAAGTGAATGTAATGTTAACACGACATGGAATATCACATATCACATGGAATATCACATATCACATGGAATATCACATATCACATGGAACATCACATATCACATAGAATATCACATATCACATGGAATATCACATATCACATGGAATATCACATATCACATGGAGTATCACATACCACATGGAATATCACATATCACATGGAGTATCACATATGACATAGAATATCACATATCACATGGAATATCACATACCACATGGAATATCACATATCACATGGGATATCACATCAAAAAATCCGCGCTCATGATTGATCTAATTACGATCTTGTTATTTCCCCCTTTGTTTATCTTTATTTTAAGCTCCAATGACCAATTCAATACCTAATTAGAGTAAAAGCTAGGCATCCTATTCTAGTCAGAGATGCACATTTCTGCAGAGTTTATTCATCATAGCTCGTTAGAAATGGATCACTTGTGAGTCTGAGGATTTGAACATTGACCAACTGACCGAGCTACAGATAGACTGACCAACTGACCGAGCTACAGATAGACTGACCAACTGACCGAGCTACAGATAGACTGACCAACTGACCGAGCTACAGATTGAGTGACCAACTGACCGAGCTACAGATAGACTGACCAACTGACCGAGCTACAGATAGACTGACCAACTGACCGAGCTACAGATAGACTGACCGAGCTACAGATAGACTGACCAACTGACCGAGCTACAGATAGACTGACCGAGCTACAGATAGACTGACCAACTGACCGAGCTACAGATAGACTGACCGAGCTACAGATAGACTGACCGAGCAACAGATAGACTGACCAACTGACCGAGCTACAGATAGACTGACCAACTGACCGAGCTACAGATAGACTGACCGAGCTACAGATAGACTGACCGAGCTACAGATAGACTGACCAACTGACCGAGCTACAGATAGACTGACCGAGCTACAGATAGACTGACCGACTGACCGAGCTACAGATAGACTGACCAACTGACCGAGCTACAGATAGACTGACCGAGCTACAGATAGACTGACCGACTGACCGAGCTACAGATAGACTGACCGAGCTACAGATAGACTGACCAACTGACCGAGCTACAGATAGACTGACTGAGCTACAGATAGACTGACCAACTGACCGAGCTACAGATTGAGTGACCAACTGACCGAGCTACAGATAGACTGACCGACTAACCTATATAAAATGTGCCCTAAGAAAAATATTAGTTATAAACTTGCTGAGTACTAAAAACAATTTTTTTTAAACTGTATCAATATTATTTGCATAAATTTGCATAAGAGTCATGTAAATAGCATTAAATTTACATATTTAGTGTAGGTGGTTGCCAATATTCAAAATATTTTATCATTCAGTGACTGTAAGACTTCTACATTTTTATCACCTCCACTATTTTAATGCATATATTTGTACAATTAGCAAATTTAAGTATGGGGAGAAGACACAATTTTGGGCTGAGCACAAAAAAAGATTTTAATATGGCATGTTTTAGTTGGGGGGGGGGGCATAGATATCCCGTGTAATCAAATAATATTTTGCAACAATAAATTTGAAAGTCATTATCCAACAAATCATATTTTTACAGTACTAACAAAATGTTGATATTCTCATGTTTTTTTTTTTATATTTTCCGATAACGTGGCTTTGTTTAGAATGAATTTGAAGATCAAACTTGATTTAATTGAATGTTTGTGTTTAAACCTCTATTGAATGCAAACTTTCAAGTCAACAGATCTTTAAAAATTAGACAAATTAGTTGAGCCTTTCTTGTCACGTGATCTACAAAATGTCTAGTATTTCACATGGCCACACCTCTGTTCATACATAGGACATAGGACATAGTGGCTGGTATTTCACATCTGTTCAAACATTGGACATAGTGGCTGGTATTTCACATCTCTTCAAACACAGAGCTGCTGAATACACATTCATTTAGCCTCCCTCACATCAAACGGTTGAATGACGTTTCACACAATCAGCTCTCTGCTTTCACGCACAATTTCAACAAAGATCGGTTATCTCCGCGTGTATTTCCGGTCTAAAGACAGTCGGAACTAATGACGTTCTCAATTGGCTCACGTTTTTCCAACTGGCAAGTCGCTGTTTACCACAAGCAAATCTTTCCGAGTTGTCTGCCCCAAGTGTGTGCAAGGTTCCGGTACAATCTGCCATCCTATTGAGGCGTACCTCAGCGGTGATGGGCGTTATTGGGGCCTGGGGTTCAATAGGGCTCTAGAGATGGTACATGCGGCCTGGTGTCAAATAGGGCCCTAGAGATGGTAAATGGGGCCTTTGTTTAAATAGGGTCCTAGAGATGGTAAATGGGGCTTTAGGTCGAATAGGGCCCTAGAGATGGTAAATAGGGCCTGGTGTCAAATAGGGCCCTAGAGATGGTAAATGGGGCCTTTGTTTAAATAGGGTCCTAGAGATGGTAAATAGGGCCTGGTGTCAAATAGGGCTCTAGAGATGGTAAATGGGGCCTGGTGTCAAATAGGGTCCTAGAGATGGTAAATGGGGCTTTAGGTCAAATAGGGCCCTAGAGATGGTAAATGGGGCCTGGTGTCAAATAGGGCCCTAGAGATGGTAAATGGGGCCTGGTGTCAAATAGGGCCCTAGAGATGGTAAATGGGGCCTGGTGTCAAATAGGGCTCTAGAGATGGTAAATGGGGCCTGGTGTCAAATAGGGTCCTAGAGATGGTAAATGGGGCTTTAGGTCAAATAGGGCCCTAGAGATGGTAAATGGGGCTTTAGGTCAAATAGGGCCCTAGAGATGGTAAATGGGGCCTGGTGTCAAATAGGGTCCTAGAGATGGTAAATGGGGCTTTAGGTCAAATAGGGCCCTAGAGATGGTAAATGGGGCCTGGTGTCAAATAGGGCCCTAGAGATGGTAAATGGGGCCTGGTGTCAAATAGGGCCCTAGAGATGGTAAATGGGGCCTGGTGTCAAATAGGGCTCTAGAGATGGTAAATGGGGCCTGGTGTCAAATAGGGCCCTAGAGATGGTAAATGGGGCCTGTGTTTAAATAGGGCTCTAGAGATGGTAAATGGGGCCTGTGTTTAAATAGGGCTCTAGAGATGGTAAATGGGGCCTGGTGTCAAATAGGGCCCTAGAGATGGTAAATGGGGCCTGTGTTTAAATAGGGCTCTAGAGATGGTAAATGGGGCCTGTGTTTAAATAGGGCCCTAGAGATGGTAAATAGGGCCCTAGAGATGGTAAATGGGGTTTAGGTCAAATAGGGCCCTAGAGATGGTAAATGGGGCTTTAGGTCGAATAGGGCCCTAGAGATGGTAAATAAGGCCTGGTGTCAAATAGGGCCCTAGAGATGGTAAATGGGGCCTTTGTTTAAATAGGGTCCTAGAGATGGTAAATGGGGCTTTAGGTCAAATAGGGCCCTAGAGATGGTAAATAGGGCCTGGTGTCAAATAGGGTCCTAGAGATGGTAAATGGGGCCTTTGTTTAAATAGGGTCCTAGAGATGGTAAATGGGGCCTGGTGTCAAATAGGGCCCTAGAGATGGTAAATGGGGCCTTTGTTTAAATAGGGTCCTAGAGATGGTAAATAGGGCCTGGTGTCAAATAGGGCCCTAGAGATGGTAAAAAGGGCCTGGTGTCAAATAGGGCCCTAGAGATGGTAAATGGGGCTTTAGGTCAAATAGGGTCCTAGAGATGGTAAATGGGGCCTGGTGTCAAATAGGGCTCTAGAGATGGTAAATGGGGCTTTAGGTCAAATAGGGCCCTAGAGATGGTAAATGGGGCCTGGTGTCAAATAGGGCCCTAGAGATGGTAAAAAGGGCCTGGTGTCAAATAGGGCCCTAGAGATGGTAAATGGGGCTTTAGGTCAAATAGGGCCCTAGAGATGGTAAATGGGGCCTGGGGTCAAATAGGGCTCTAGAGATGGTAAATGGGGCCTGGTGTCAAATAGGGCCCTAAAGATGGTAAATGGGGCCTGGTGTCAAATAGGGCCCTAGAGATGGTAAATGGGGCCTGGTGTCAAATAGGGCCCTAGAGATGGTAAATGGGGCTTTAGGTCAAATAGGGCCCTAGAGATGGTAAATGGGGCCTGGTGTCAAATAGGGCCCTAGAGATGGTAAATGGGGCCTGGTGTCAAATAGGGCCCTAGAGATGGTAAATGGGGCCTGGTGTCAAATAGGGCCCTAGAGATGGTAAATGGGGCCTAGGGTCAAGTAGAGCCCTAGAGATGGGGTCCTATGACGACACGGCCCTGTAGAATAGTGGGACTAGTGATAAAAATTTAGTGGGGGCCTTAAAAAGAGGTTAGAGTGGCCTATGATACAACAACGCAGGCCCCAGTAGTTGAGCTACATTGAGCTATATTGACGTTTGTTCTTCAACTACTTCCGTTCTGAGATATTAAACCTTAAATCTGCAAACAGAAAAAAGACCTTCAGCAAATATGGACCGACCCAAAACCAGAAAGTCTTTCGCCTTTACAAGGAAGAAAATGTCGGCCATTCGATAATTTTATTATCAGGATAAAATCGCCTTAAACCCGTCCTTATCGTCTCCCAACCAGACAAACATCAGCTCATTGGTCCCGAGATTTTCCTATCGATTCAACATTTCTATTGGTATGGGTTCGACAACTTTTTTACTTTATGTCTTGAACGCATGTGTTTGTGTTACCTTTGTTATATAACTAATGAGCTTTTCTAAACGGGGGTGTTGGGTCCAGCTATCACCTGATTGTTTGTTTTGACAATATTTTAATCCATCTCAAACTTTCATCACAGGGAACTTCAAAATTTAAATATGCTAACTTTTATGACGGGGTTCTTCAAACTTTGAATATGCTAATGTTAATCACAGAGTACTTCAAACTTTGTCTTACGTATACGTCATACAAATCTGTTCTTCGAACCTTGTCTTGGTCGACGGTTAGGGGGTCTCTTAAGTCTATGGTTCGATCTGTGGAGCAAGTTGTGGTTCG